AAAGGCGACAGAAATGGCAAAGGGTTTCACGGAAACTGCAAGCGAACACCAGTGTGATCCTACAAGATGATAATGTTTCAATATGTAAATGGAAACTACCTCTAGTAGTAGAGACTCTAGAACGTCCAGACGACAAGGTTCGAAAGGTGAAACCAAAGATCAGTGAAACCACTGACAAGGTAAATATACCTAGAAAGACCTATTCACGTATAGTGACTTTACTTGAGACTGATACAGTAACATGGACTAATCTTGACACTCATCAGAAAATCACATTGAGAATCAATTGGTGATTCGGTGGGAGTGTAAGTGTCACCACAATGATTGATTTATGTTTCAAACGGGTTCATATTTGTTTTCAGTAGTTAGAATATTTTGTTTTTAGTTTGTTTAGTTCACACTGTGAAATATGTTTTATTTTGTATAAGATGCATTTATTCTGTCATGAAGGACTATTTTTTGGTTGTACTGTTATCGCGAGATTTGTGTGAACGGAAGAGAGTGGCGAGATCTTTTGTTCTCGACACACACACATTTACCTGAAGCCACATGCAGTTACCTGGGGACACGAGAGGCGTGCAGAAGCCTCGATAGTTCGTTAACTGTAAAGGTATTTATAACTGTTGTGGCACATTGTACATCTGTCAGTTATGGTGTTCTGATGTTTTATATGCTTGTTTTATATGCTTATTTAGAATGTACAAGATGAGAAACATTCGCTTAGGACTTCTTTAACGACGAGCGGCCATGAGGTATTTCTTTGTTAAAGCACGTTTTACTCGTCGCTCAGTACTGTACCTGAAACCTTTTGTTTTACTTCTGTACTTTCTGTCTTGTTTCTGTAGTTTTCATGGCATTCATTAAAGCGCCCGTTTCAAATAAAGAAGCCGTGCCCGCGTGTCGTCATTGAGAAGTTACAGTGAAAACTCTGCCAGTCAGTGCCGGCAAGAAGGAAAGAACTGGGCGTGCCTGCAGCTGAGTGATGGTATCACGGTGGTGCGAACACAAGGGGGCGCCATCTCCTAAGTTCAACGCTCACAAGCAGCCAAGCCCTGCAAATGTAACTGAATAAGGTGGAAATTAACAAAGAACAGTGTTGAAAAAAAAAAAAAAAAGAACAGTGTTGAAATAGAATGAGTGGTTAAGTTAAAGTTTAAGTCAAAAGCCACAACAAGTCTCTATAACACATTTGTCAAAGATTACGTGATCTCTACTGGACTTCAAAGTGATTTATTGTTGTTTAAGAAAGGAGTTTGTGTTTTGCTTAAAATCAAATTAAGCGTGA